AACTTCATTGGTGGAAGGCTGAGAGAGAGCATCATTCAGCCCTTCCAACGATGAGGTAGCAGCAACTGCCTGTCTACAGCCATCGTGCCAACAGCCTTTGAGAGAAACAATGCGTAAGTATACTTGATCGAGGCTCCTATGTTCCGAAAACCGAAACCCGAGCAGGAAAGATGATGTCTTGATGCAGTCATCTATTTCTGCAGCATACACCATCTATCTAGAGAAACCCATGGTATATGTAGTTCAGACCACAAATCAGTAGCACTTACAAGACGTAGTCCATATGTCTAAGAGTTTCCATTTCAAGACCGACTGAGGCTAGACTTCGCCATGGCTGGGAGGATATTCCTGCAGGCTGCTCTACCTTCCACAGTAATATAGTCAAAGATGGGAACCACTCTAACACTCCACCTCTCCCTAGTCAGGGAGTGAAGAGCTTACCCAAACATACCCAAATAGCTCCTTAGCGCAATTTCTCCCCGGGGGTAGGGGTTATTTGTCTATTCGCTTACCTACTTATTTTTTCACCATAAGATGTGTTTGCAAAGTAAAAGCGGCTTCTATGGGCTCATTCTTGCGTAGAAAAACAGAAAAAGAACGGAGCTTTCAAGGTTTGTCCCCTACAGAAGAAGGACAAGTCCAGGCATAATCCTATTTTGCATACTTCGCAAGGTCGTGAAAGCAGTGGAGGCTCCAGAGAATCGACCGCGATGGTTGCGGGCAGGCGGTTGATGCCAACTTCATTGGTGGAATGGGTGCGAGAGGGCTTTTGGCCACACCTCCCACCAACGACGTTGGCAGCAACCGCCCGCCCCAGCCGTCGTGCTCACTGCATTTAAAGGCGCGGTCCGCGATAAGTATAGGAGCTCTAAATATGGCGCTGGGAGGGTAGTGTGGTCCGCGGCGAACAACCTTGTACCGGTTTCGCAGCAAAAATTGTAAGGGAGGGGCGCTATAGCGCAACATAGGTTCAGTGACGCCTCCTTTTTTCCAGTGACTCCGCCTCCAGACTCCGCCTTCAAGGCCCGCCTTTCAGTGGAAAACGAAGCTGCAGGACGAAAAAGCATGAAAATCGTCACTTGTACGGTCGTAGAGTTCTTATCGGGGAATCAGCTGTGCGGGTGAGGGTGTCGTGTTGGAGGAGATGGAGTCAATTGGCACGTACAAACTGGGGTCAGAATGGGCTTTATCTGAGGCAACTGGCACGTTTTTTCTGAGTTTTTCTTCACTATCGAGCGACTGATCACCTAGTTTTCTACATGCAAGCCCCCAATCCACTATCTGTGATGGCGAGTGATCGCGAGCTTTGCCTTTAAGGGGGAGCTCCACATTCAGATGTGGAGTCGTTCTTCTTCCGCGAGAAAGTGGCTTGGTTAGCACTGATGCGGGCAAACTGAGTGGGCGGCTTCGCAGCGATTTTATTGCAGACGGCAGCAGGCGGATATATTCTGCTCGTATTTACTGCCGGGGGCCTCCCCTTGGCTTTCTTGGCATCTCGGCACTCCACTCGGAGGCTCTGTACCAGAAATATCTAAATGGCCGCGGCTTTACCTTTGGCGGCATTCAAGGTGAAACAGATACATTCCTTCAGATATTTAGCACAGCCGGGCAATCTAGCTGCTAAGAGGAAGATATTATAAATTCGGCACTTTAAAACAGCTCCTGGTTGAATTTAGCTGATTCATATCGGCAAAGGACATTGGCCAGTCGACTACACTAGAAATTCCATTGCCAAATGCATTGCAGCGGCCAACGCGAAAGTGGCGATTGAATCGCTTTCATAACTGTGGCTTATTGTCCGTGAGTTATCCACCACGACGTTTGACTCTGTTAGTGCAACTTTAGCGAAGACTGACTCGCCGTCTTTTAGTGATTTCGCACGTCGTCCCTTTGCGGGCTTCATCAGCATGATTCAAGGACTCGGCACGACTCCGTGATAGGCATTCAGCCCGTTTTGAGTCGACTTTTCTGTCCGGACATTACAGAGTGAATTCGAAATTACCTTTCAGCCCCCATCTCGTCTTCGAGCTCAATCTTTCGGATACTGCTTTGCGAAAACCGACTCACTGAGAGGAACTCAAAGTTGCTCCCCCGCTCTCCTAATCGACAGGCTACCATCGAAATGCGCCACGACGCAAACCGGTGAACTGCTCAACTACTATTCCATGGTGAACACACATCGAGCAGGAGTCAGAGTGAGTTCCTCTGAATATACTGTATTCGGAGAGGGAAGACGCTGACTGATACCATTTAAACGCGCTCAGTTTTGGGCGCTGTGCTTAGGATCACGTTAAATCTAGACAAAAAACTTGTACACAGGAGTTGTCTGGAGCTACGAATATGATATTCATTCTTGGCGCTGGCGCTAATGGAGGCACTACGATCATCGGCCTCCATTAGCGCCAGCGCCAAGAATGCTCTGCTAAGGCTGAGTCCTCAAGATAATCGTAGTGTCCTCCATTAGCGCCACCGCGAAGAACGAAGGTACTATTCGTAGGATATTAAATAGCCCTGTATACAAGTTTTCTGCGGATTTGATGAACTAGGCACTTCATAAATGAATCAGCAGCCAGAGCTGAGCCCGTCCGAACGGCGTCAGCCGAAGACACACTTCGCATGGTTGTCACGCTCACTATGTTTCGAACTGTTTTCGGATGAACAACTTGAGCTCAATCCCTCTTGCCGCTTTTCTATTTTTCTCCGCGCTCAGGACCACGTCGTACGTTAAGGAATCCCAGCAGGAGGGGGAGAGGTCGTATGAGGTCTGAGAAAAAATTTTCAAATGATTTGTCTTATTTTATTGTTATTGACATCGTTAGGACGATTCTGAGAAATGGGTCATATTTGCCGCTCCCGTCGTTATATTCCCCCTTTCCCTTCGACAGCTAAATTTCGCGGGAAAAGTAGTAGGAAGTTGGAAAAACTGGGAAAATATCGAGCGTATCAGAGCGGGGAATTTGGGGGAGGGGTGTCCTTTCTTTTAATCACTATTTTAGTCCTTTATTTCTCAGTGCTCTAGCCTTTCGCGCTAGGACCCGAAAAGTTATGACTGGCACATGACCCCATCGCGGCGCCGCAATGTGAGTGTTCTGAAGTGGACTCTAAACACTGTGCCTCCATTAACCTGAGCGCGTAATGCTAGAAACATATTAACCAACGTTGCCTGTTTTACTTTTCAGATATGGCCAACGATGTACGTGAATGGGGTGTTCTTCGATCGAAGCTACCCCGTCGACCAGAAGCTTTGTGAGCAGACGGCTTGGTGCTGAAAGAGCTCCGAGAGTGCAGTAAATCATCGACATATATTATTGTAATATATCATTATTTGACATACTTGTGATGAAGACGTAACTTCATCAACCTAATTTATTTCGTGTAAAAAGGGCGCTGTACGGCTCGGTGGAGGGAGAGAGAAGGGGCAATTTGCACTTCTGTTGATTCCATGTGTTAGCTCATCTGAACTAAGCGGTCTCACTTTGGTGGGAACAAACTCTTTTCAAGCTGCAAAACTGTGGAACTAAATTACTTCGGTCACAAGTCTTCATAAGTTGCCTGTGCAAGCTGCTGAGCGCCATTTAGTACCCCCACGAGGCCGAACTGCGCCATAAAAATATACGAATATTGTTGTAAGCATAAGCTTGCCGTGATCCAATCTGCCTTTCCTCGTGATTACTTCTTTTCAACTTTTAAAGAAGACCGTTGGGTCGTTCAAGACTCAGAACCTCTTTGAATGCATAATATAATTACATCTACACCAGGAATGGTAATGAAATGCCACGACGTAACGTCGACAAGACTCAATCTCCGCACTGTTCAGATTCCAAAGGGTCAGTCGCACTTTTCCGGAAACGCATCCATGCAAAGTACACTCTGTATCCAGGAAGTAGATGAGTCGTGATTGCGTACTTAGTGCACCACATAGCAGTGGCCTTGAAAAGTTGGTGGTTTCCATCAACGATTTGTCTGCTCTTTGTTTCTGAGACCTAATGACACGCAACTAACTGAACTGAAGCCTGAAGAAGTCGAGTGCTACTAAAAAGGAACCGAAATTGTTGACCCCGCTGTCACGCGCGCCATTGAATCCGCAACTACAACCACTCTCATCATGATGCGGACTAAGGCGCTAACGTGGTTGGGAGGGATGGAGTGGGGGGGGGCACTCCCCTTCGCTTCCGTATCCCTTCCTCTAATCAGAGCCCAAGGGGAGACCATGCCTTGTCCGCGGGACTATCCCAGCGGCTCCGGTCGTCGGCGCTCTATGCCTCGGCCTTTTGAGAGGGAAGGGATACAAAGACGCGGCCGACTCGTTCCCTACCCCTGAACACGTTAGCGCCAGATTTTATTCGCAATTTTTCGACGTTACCTCGTAGGTCATTACAGCCGTTCTTGATGGTTTGAGACAGCAACATTGCCATGACTTATAAACCTTTACCCTCTTCGCATGTCTTTTCTAATATAACATGGATTTCAGCACCATTATCACTGTGATTCTCTGTTCCTTCTTACCATACACGGTGTACAAAATTCTCACCTAAATTATTGTTGGTAATTCTCAAATTGTGATTTTTAAATTTCCCAGTGCTCACTTTGTCTAGTGTATTATCGGTTATTTGCCTCTTTTTGTACTTCCCGCTGGACTTAATTAACTTTGTGCTTGATTTTAAGAAAATTGTACTTTCTGGTAAAACACATGAAGGTCATCCTGGTTCAGCCTTGCCCCTATTTTAAAATGACTCTCCGAAGCAGTCAATTTAGCTCGGCAATCTTAGATGACCTCAGTTATACTCTCATCCTACGAAATGGTTTTTAGCACCTTTCGAAGTGCTTCTTTGGATGGTTAACTCTCAGAACTTCACTCACTTTGCCTAATCGCCGCTCAACTCTACTCACTGACGCTCTCCAGTATTCCAGCTACAAAAACTCCGAATCAGGTCATCCTGATCTTTGTAGGACCACTGCAGACCATAGATCTAATTGTGAGAAGTCTCAGCCAACATAACTACATTGCATCCCGAGTTAGCCACGCAGGGGCTAACTCGGGATGCAATGGGGGGCTATAAAGGTTAAAAGGCTAGTGCTAGTACACGAGCAGAAGGCTAGTGATAACACTCCATTGGTATACGGTTGATATTGCCACACTCACAATCAGTCGTGGCGGTATGAAGAGGGATGGAATGAGCTTACGCGCGGCGTTGTTCACTGGTTGTTCTCCCTAAATCCATCAGACTGTGGATTGCTAGGGTACGGCAGCTATTAGGTTGTTCGAAAAGTCCTGCGACACTTTGATTGAATTGTTCTAGAAAAAGACCAAAAATCATTTTGGATGTTTTTATCCCTGATTAGTGGAGACTGTCCTCTGGGGTTTCTGCACATGGGTATATCATGACTTTGTGGAAGTTTTCAAAGCTTAAAAGTCCCTCAGAGATCGAGGTACTTTTCGACCTATCCCATATTATGAGTTCCTGTAGGGCAACTCCGCCGTAGTCGAGGAAGCTAACACTTACGTTGTCTTGAGGAAGGATATCGCTTGCCATGAAAGAGGGTAGCTTTTGCATCAGCGCTTCCAGGCTGGACTTATTTAACTCGTAGTTAGGCAATGTGTAGGTCGCCCACCAGCACAGAATGACGACCCTTTACTCAAGCTTCTTGAGGCGCAGCCGAAGGTAACCACCAGTAAGTTGGCAACCTCTCTAGGCTCCACCTGACTGACAACTGCCGTGCTTCTCCGCAATCTCGTTATCGGAAAAATTCTATGTGAAGGATGCCTCATGAGTTGGACCCGTCTGACAAGTCATACCGAATGACCGCATGTGGGAATCAGGCCACGTCAAAAAATCATGAATTTTGATCAGAGAATGCGACCGTACCCAGGTTATTCAGCAAAGTTAGCGGCCTCTAATTATCACCTCTTTTGGTCCCTATTGCATCCTTTGAAGAGCAAAAAGCCCGAAAATCGACCTCAACTCGAGAATGAGGTCCACCTCTTCTTTTTATCACAGTTGCCGTAGTTCTATGAGAATGGAAATGAGAAGCTGTGCAAAAGAAGGGCACTAGTCCTAGTCATCAACTATGGTTACCTTGTGGATTGGAGATGTCTTTGGGTGACAGAAAATTTAGTGCGAAAAATTTGGTCCAAAGTGTCGCAGGACTTTTCGAACAACCTAATATATAGGCGAGCTCACTCTGCCCCTACTAACACATCCCGACTGACGTGAGATGAACTGATGCTTTCAAAATGACAAACCCATACCCATCGTTCAGTACTGCCATATGAATGCTAAGGCGAGGAGTGGGGAGACGGGCAAGAGAATCGTGAATTGCCGCTTTGTCGCGCGCTGCAATGGGAGCGACGTTCCCTTGTTTGCGTTACCCTTTCGGAGCATCGTATTTTATGTAGACAAGGACATGGTAGACACTTATGTCTATTTTTGGTCATACATTGTCTATTCTCGACCAATACCACCTGAAATCGTCGTCATTAGCGGGCGCGACGTCGCACGCGACGCCCACTGGCGCGGCGAATTACGATTCTCTTGACACATACACCGCGGAGTGTTCAACTTACAACCGTTGGGACATCTGAGTCTGAGTTTGCTTGGATCCCGCAACAAGCCCATGATTCCTCGCACCCAATGATTAGCCTTGATAGACTTTATCGACGGTTAACATTGGAGGCCAACTTCAAGGGTTTTGCCTCTTTCCACTGCTCTTTCATGTTCGATTATATAAAGAATAAAATATAATAAAGTCTTGATTAGCCTCTTACTGAGATGCGGTACGCATTCTACTTCCATTTAGAATCGCACTGGCTTATTCAATGCTGCGGCCTATATAATGAACAGCGTGGCGAGCCGATGTTCAGGTCAATGTTCTTACGCACGAATGGTACCTATTTGCTGTCCCCAGGGAGTAGAAGGATTGCTTGACCTAAGAGGGAGTCGATCCAGGACTTGACATCTGGACCGCGCGCCTGGTAAGCGTGCCACTTGTCATTAAGCCAACTTCCACTGTGATTCATTAGGACTCATTTTTGGGACAGAGCCATGCATTCTACTAACTTTCGGAAATAATGAGAGTGCAATTTGGCCTCTACAGCTAGTTGCAGGGAGTTGTATGAGCAAGTCAATTTTATATGTTCCCAGACCAGTCTAGTACCGACTTACGACTCCGAAGAGATGTAAAGCTCTGTCTCACTAGCCTAGATTCCTTACCTGGAACGAGAAATCGACCACCACATAGGCACTATTGGTAAATAGTTCACCCAAGACTGGCCTAGGCCACTCCTCCTGACAGCGCCCGGCTAACGGCAACGATATCAACTATACACATAATCGTTGTGAAAGACGCTGGAAGGTGGTCTGGTATTAAAACGCTCGTCGTGTCGGAAAAGATATTGAAATCTTATCAGGAGAAAGTTATACATCCCATAATCTACACTAATGCTGGCTCAAAACGGGACTTGCAATACGGTTGTCCCAACTAGGCTAACAAATCCATATTCATTCCTCAAGTAGGTCAGACCACAGCAGAGAGCATGGTTTATAACATTCAATGTTCATGTCACAATTTAACAAATGTTATTAACAACATTAATAATATGCGTAACAAAAATTAGATGAATCCAGCAATACTCAAGGAAATCGGCTAAGTAAGGTCATTTAAAAACGTAGGCAGCCTAAAGCGAACATTTAGTTGAAACAATTGTAAGCAATTGACATTACAATACATACAACGAATAAATAAATGCGTAATTAAAGCGAGCTTCAACGGAACAAGGGCCAGTATGCTTGTTGGAAAGTGAATCACATTGTAGGTTCAACCCTTTCGAGGGATGACTAGGTTTTATCATCGCAAATGATCATCATTAAAACAATTTTAGAAGAACATAAAACTGCAAAACGTTGTTGAAATCAAAGAAAGTTTGCCATTTTATGGAATTGCGGAGGAGATCAGGATCATGGTCGAAGAAGCGCAAAGCACACATTACCGCGACCTTTTGAAAAGAGACTTTAGTGCTCCTTTTGAGATGATAATTAAGTAAAACATCATTAACAGGTTTGAATAAGCAGATACAAATCATCAGGCTCCACATTATCACTACTCAGCAGTCAGAAAGGAATCACGAGATATTATCAGGATCACTTCTGCTCTATATCACGCAGCACTGATCACTTCGACAATGTATGGCTTTTTGAATCTCTTCGGAACTTTGTAATACAGCGCAAAAAAACCCTTACATCTCGGGAATTGAATCTCCTAATAGATAAAACAATGGTTCCGGCCTATTCAAAATCCACGGCCAATCACCGAGTTTGGATTGCTGTGCCTCTTCACATGTTCATCTCGATTTCGTTTATTCTGGAACTCCTGCTCACAGTGTGGGCAGACCAAATGTTCCGCGTCCAGGAACAAACGTGACTCATGCGATCGCCGTTCGTGTTCGCGTACACCACGAGATGTGGCGAACGTTTTTGGACAGTATGCACACCTGAAATCAGACAGTAACGAGCATATATACACGACTGGTTGGCAAAGAGTTAGCTCTATAGCCAGGAGAATAAATCAAGGCAATTATCCAAAAAGTTGAAGGCGCAGGTGGTGTAGCGGCAAGTGAGCTGCTTATCACGCGCGCGGTTCGGGTGTCAAATGCCGGGTGGCCTCCCGCCCGGGCCAACCGGGGCTTCTGTTCGCCGGAACGGTAAACTGGCTCAGATTTAATCAGGTTTGTCTGGTAGGATAAGAACAGTGATCAACCAACAGCGAAGACTTTATCGAAGAGGTGGAGCATATGTGGTTAGAATGAAACGTAATTGAGTCGACGAGTATTCACTTTTCAGCATTCAAGTTCAATTGCCTTTGCAGTTCTTGCTTATTCTAAAGTCACTTTAAAAAACTCGAAGGCAAGCTCCGCTTTTAAAAATGCTGAGTTGTGTAGTAACTGCAAAATGGTAAGTGATTCGGTACTGAAAAAGCCTCATATAGAACCTCATTCCGAGACACGCTTGTATGTGCTTAAGGCAAAGAGAGGGCGGACGTGATTTCACTTGGCTGAACTAGCTCTTTTCCCTTATCAGCTCACTCGACTGAAGATGGGATGCCCGATGAGAAATTTCTCTTTCCCTACAGAACAACCTTTCGCTTTAAAATGGACCAGCACAAATGTGGGTCAGTAGGCTTAATATGACCCTCTTTTCTCCGCAGTGACTAAAATACGCCCCTTCCCATTTTTCAAGGATAGCGAGCTGTGAGAAGGACCATAACACAGACAACAAAATCATTGAACACTCAAATTTCGAGTGTACAATATACATTGTGAGTCACCTAACTCTTACTTGCCGCTTGTAACTTTGATTCTGGTGATGGTGAGTACTGAAGTTCAGCACAAGGTACCACCACTAGAATAGTATCAACAAACAATACTTACTTGAACGCTAATGGAATATCTTCATGGCAGTCGCCGATATGTTTCAACAATTTCCCTCGTGAATCCAGTACCTGAAAACGAACCTGATTATATGACCACTCCAACGACAGCAAGAGCCGGAATGAAGAACTTTGACCTACCACATTACAGTGGTGACATGGGGAGACAATTTTGGTGCCTAATGATGGGAAGAACTCAGAATGAGCTGAACTAGTATGTCGTCGAATGTCATTCACTGTACGTCCTTTGAACTCACAGAAGTTGCATCTTAAGGAAAGGAAGGTGACAGTCGATGCTAATGACTAGAAGCACACGTGGGTTCCAGCTAGTAGAACTGTGAGACTCACGGATATCCCTTCGCGCCTTCAACGTGACTGATATCCACTGGAGGAACAGTGTTTTGCTTCACCATATTCTTTACAACCCGTTGGGGAAGCTCGTCGAACAACGTTAGTCCAGCATCAGTACCTTTTTTGACTGGTTTCGACTGTAATATTTAAAAAAACAGAGCATGCACATTCTGCGCATGTCTTGAAACGCGATAAAAATGAACTGGACGTAACAGACTTACCTTCACGCTACCATCAGAATCAAGGTAACCATGCAGAGCATCTCTAAGACTTCCCTCTATTAAGTTTTCCGACTTCTAAAAACATTTTTGGTAAGTTCATTCGGACTGCAAGATGTACTACTGAGCTGAATATTATAAAGTACAGAAAGCTATTTTGTCACTACCAGCTGCTAAACACGACCCACTACCGCGAATCAGACCCTGCTCTTAAATACGTGGTTAGGATCTCAGTTACGCCACGCCGCTGTAGAGGTTATAAACCTGCACGAGAACTGGCAGAAGTAGAAACTTATATCTAATGGTAAGTAAAGAGATTTTTGTTGAGTTCCAGAGCACAGAAGCTGGCAATGAAGTAAAATACCTAGTTATTGCACTACAGATCACCGCACGATAAACTGCGATAGCAACATGGCCCAACTCATACCCAATCTGATAACCGAAACAAGGTCAATAAGCAAGTCAAAAGGTTTGAACTTACCACTTCTGAAGCACCTGAAGAGCAAAGTTCAGCTTGACGTGGAGGAAAAACTGTACGAGAGGTTAGAGACAGCCACGATAACAACTTTCCTAAAATTTCTATTTTCATGCAATACATTTATCATGCTAGCAACCCAGTTGACCTCCCAAAAAAGCTTTGACTGTTGATCTGTGTCTTCTCAGGATGCGGCAGCTTTCTACCTCCAATCGTACTGGCTCATGGAATGCGATATGGCCTTGATACCGACGTGGTGGGAGGGGGGAGGGGACGGGAGGGCAACCGATGCCCGATGTGTCATCTTCCCAGGCGAATCTAACTTGCTACCGATTTTTCATCCCCGGAGTGAGGTCTAGGCGAGAACCGATCCGAGATTTGACCTCGCACGTGGTATGCTGGACCACTTGTTCCAGAGTCATTCATCAGCCTTCTTTAGCTAGTTCCGTCCCCCCCCCACCTCCCCGACGCACACTATCCCTTCCAATTCCCTGTCGCTTTCTTGAACGGTAATTAACACAAAAGGGAACAATTACAACAAGTGTAATGAGAAAAGAAAAATGCAGCACAAACCGGTTACTGACGAATTGTCAACGCTATCAGATTGCGGTGTAGATGTGGCCTTGCGGTCTGAACCAGCGCTTCCTTCACCATTTTCGACTTTATCAGGACCGCTTGGTGTCGCCGATCTTTTGATATCCTCTTTACCCAGAACCTTCTTCTCTGAACCAAACCGAATCGTACTCTTTATGCCCAGTATTTTTAAGACTTTTCCCGAGCAAAAATCCAAGAGCCCTTTGCGAAATACACTGGAAAACATTTGGGAGCTCTATACAAAAAAAATTCACACCTTGACTCTGCTGACTTTCAGGTTGTCTTCTAGGCTTTTCAGTGCATTTGCCACTATTACTTGCTTCTGTAGGGTTATCGGCCTAAAATAACGAACCTGATACAATCCTCATCATGTCCTTTGTTGATATCTTGGCATGGATAATTTTTTCATTTCTGCCAAGCGGTGTTGCTCTGGGTTCTATGACTGATTACACACTAAAGTGTGTATTTCGTTCGCACTGCCGAGAGCTGGGCGCGACGAAAGGGCAACGGCGTTCATTGGCGCCAGCCCGTACTCCTCCAGCTGGCAGGCCACAGTTGGTGGAAGACTGGCTGGTGCCACGCCAAACCCAATTTCACGGAATGCCCCCGGGTCCGCAGGGGCTGTACATTTTGTTCCATACACTAGAAACTATTACCTTGAGATTGCCCTCACTATGACCATCATCTTCATTGTCTGGGGAGCGACGTCCACGTTCACTTGTTGCAGCTGAAAGCGTAATGATAAAATTGAGGATCCCAAACTCCACAAAAAAGTATTATCTAAAAATACGGCTGTCCTGTCATTGCCACTCTTTTTCACTTCAGCAGCAAGACTACCATACGAAAAGTCCAGAGGCACAAAGATACTAAGCGCGAGAGATTGCACAATGGGTGTGTGAGAAGGCACATAGCCTAAAATCTAATAAGGCGCGAAAGAAGCGCAGCAGTCAAGAGATGGGTGGCCCATCACATAGGTGGGCGGAGACCCACACGTGTCACAAGGGCCTCGCATGAGAAAAAAAGCAATATCTATCCCACAAATGTGAAATGGAGGAAACCTTACACGCAAACCTAAAACTGAAAATGTAGGATTATGAGATCAGCTGATTCCTTAACAAACATACAGGAATGATGGGAACTTCTGCTGGAACTTCTCGAAGATCGGTCAGTAACTGATGAATCTCGTGACCCTCCAGATGATTCCCTGTCTTTATATTCGCCACCTTTTCGCTCAAGACCACGACATCTTGCAATGATCTCTTCGATATTCAACTTGGTTGTAGAGCTGAAATATACAATTGTGGAAGAATATGGTATGTAGGGGAGTCTCATATGAAAGTATATAATAACCTGCTTCCAACAGGATTGTTCTGCTCAAGTGAACCAATATCTCCATTCGAAATAATTCCAGACGCTACACTTCTACGAGTCGACATTCTTGTTTTACGACTTAAAAAAGATGCTTCATAAAATCAGTAGAGAAATATGCTCCCACTACGAGATAATACGTCCTGATACATCAATGGTGCGGGGGTGAAATGATGTAATGTCGAACAGGACGTGGGTGTCCCATGATTCTTGAGCAATTTTTGTTCAAATCCGTTTTTTCTGCTCCATGCCGGTTGTAAATCTATGTTGAAAAATAGGGTAGGGGCTTTAACAGTCCCTACATAACAAGTGCTGCCTCTTCACACCGGGCATAGAAAGGACCGTCAACGGAGATGAGTGTACAGTTTGTCTTCATTAAACGAATATCGAGAGAAAGAAGAAATGAGGAGTACTTACCTTTCATGCACGGACGTGGCATGTTTCAATAGTGGACATGTATCGCTGAACGCTGCTTCGCATAACGCACATTGCAGTTTTCCTTTTTTGATGGAGGTGACAGCATCGATATACGGAAACTCGGACGCCACATCCCACGATCCACTAAAAAGAACCACTGATTCAGTTTCATTATAAAAAAATCCATTGTAGAAATAGCAATCATCTTAATTTAATGCGCGAAAAAAATACGAGATAAATATCAGACCGCGCTCATACTTGGTTAGGGTGGAGAAGTCAGTGTTTCAGAGTAGTGATGAAGGATTAGATGGGTCCTGAGCGATTTCGCCTATCGCTATTTTCGGAGAAGCCTCGCTTCGTGAAAATGCGCGACTTGGAAGAAGGTGCAAATATAATCCCTGAATACGCCTCAGCTTCGTAGAGGGGCATCCAGATGCATGTGAATTCCACTTCCCCGACACGCGGTAGAAGTGGCTGCGTACTTCATTTTACCTTAGCGTAGGCGGGTTTTTCGTGGGATACTTCAACTGAGACAACAGCCATTCTGGGTTGGACAAAGACATTCTTCCGATTGTACGAAATAAGTACACCCCG